CGGTTAGCAAACAAAAATGCACATCAAGAGATGGGAACTAATCAAACCTCCTCCACCGTGCATCTGTCCCCAGCCAGCGTCAGCCTCATCTGCAGAAAACAGGAGCGTTTGAACTCATTCATTGCTTCAAGGGACTCAGTGGGGTTGGCATCACGGCTCCACAGACTCCCAGGTTCAACTCCCCCTCTCTGATCTTGGCACAGCAGCACAGGGAAGTGGAAACTTGCCCGGTTATACAACTGGTTGTCCAATTGCAGACTGGAGCACCACACCTCGATGAGAGATGAGTCACACAGCAGAGCTGGGATGGCTGCTGTACCCAGAGAGGGGTCAACGGCTAGCTCCGGGGGCAGGGAGATAGGCGTGGGAGCCAGGCTTAGGAGTAGCTTGGTTAATGTGAGTCTCAGGAGCTCCACCGAACTGGTGGGACTGGTGATATCATCACTTAGCACCATGCTGGCCTCACTCAGGAGGATGCAAACAGACAGCGTGGAAGACCTGAAAACAAAACAGAAATATTAACCAAAAAGATCTACAGTGGGAAGAACAGAAACTATTAAAAATATATGGTATTTACAAATGAAAATATAGCAACAGTTAAAGTAGCCATAAAATGATTTGTCATTTCTTCGGTACAGTCAGGAAACTTTTCCAGGCTGTGATTATTTGTAAAGGATAATAAGGGACCATCTACCAGAGCACTTTAACAAAGATCATTGTCTGAGGTAATTTGTTTACATTTACCTAACATGTGATTATATTAATATCCTGTTTTGCCAAAAATGACAAAGCAGCTTGCATGTGTTGATGTAATGGAATAAAGCTGTAATGCTATGTTCTACTGTACAACTAACTACGCTCATGACAACACTAGAAGCTTTTATTGCCCTCCTGTGGTGAAAATGATGCCTGTTTCTTCATGTTTTGAGTACTGCATGAAAACATAGCTGTTAACAGTAATCATAAAGCAAATGGAAGTGAACACAGTAATAGGCACAGGGGTAGATAGCTTGAGGTTAGGAACAACAACATGCATGCTTGATTTCTCGTGGCTCAATTATGTAGGGAACATAAATCGACAACAATAAAACCACTGCCTGTGCACGCATACCTGCTGTGTTGGTTGATTACAGTGTCCACGCTGCCCTCTGGTGCCAGAGACAGAACCAGGGTGCCTTTCTCATAGGTCACGTCTATGTAGAGACAGCCGAAGCCTGGCAGGAACACCACCTGAACAGCAGCGGAAAACTAATGACTAGACATTATTCGTCACATGATACTTTGAAGAAGAACTTTTACACAGTTCTAGCTCATGTCAGTGTGTGTGTTTCAGAAGTTACACGTGTCTGACTTTAACCTATGCCACTCCAGGTTCAGAGTCATCAGACAGTCATGTGAAGAAAGGAAGCAGATCACTGCTGAACGCTTGGCTAAGCAGTCATAACAAGTCTAGCCTTTGACTTCTCACCCCTACCACACAGGTCAGACTTCACAGTAACCAGAGATACAGAGCCTCAACCACCCCACCCCCGCCAACCCACAGCTGCCTAGACACAACAGTAAACATTACACATACTGCTCCTTAACATTTTGCTAACCCTACTTTACTACCCCAAACCAGACTGAAAATTCTTACCCTGGATCACCATTTAACCCCAGAACACGCACAAAACGAAAAACTAATGTTGCGTGAAGAAGGTTCAGACATACCTCTAAAACCTGATTTTCATTTGTAATGGATCAGCCACGCAAGCCAATTGTTAACTTGTTTTCCTAATGCGAAGCTAATTTAAAAGAAAAATAAGTGAAAACCTGGGTGCTTGTATTTTATCATCATCATCAGTCACAAGACTGTGACAGGGCTAATCTTCATTACCAGCAAAACATAATGAACTCTGGCTCCATCTAGCTGCTGCTGAGGTTTTGTTATCACTGACATCTGTGGTGTTAGGAAAGGTGTTTCTGTGTGTTTAGGTCAAAAGTTCAGATTGGTCTATCACTAGGAGGAGGGATGACTTAAGCGGTACATTTCTTCAATTACTACTCTTTTACCTGAGTGCCAGGGCAGTTGATATCTATGGGGTCTGTCCAGTCGGTGGTGCTGTGGTCCGAGGTGTTTTTCAGCAGCAATGTGGGCAGCATCTCTTTCTGCTTGCACTCTGGGAAACTGGAAAAGTGGTAACAGAGTTCATGGTGCAGGGAACAGTTAGCAGGCAGAGCACGACAGTACACCTCAGTCCTTGGAGTTTCTGTGAAACAAAAGAGAGGAAAAAAAACGTGCAAGAGAAAAATTGTGAGTTTAACCACAGAGGAGAGGTTTCCAGTGTACCCAGAAGGTGCCCTGCTTACCTTTGACATTTTCCTTTAAAAGCAGTGGGATAGGACACTTGTTGTGGATTAGCATGCGGGGACAAGGGTCTTCATTAAGGGTGATGTATGTCACTCCAAGGTGCTCCTGATAGGTCAGGACTATTGCTCTGCACGAAAAAATAACATGAATAAGGTAAAAGGACAATTTGAAGAAATTGTTTGGATCGGCACAAAACTGAATACAAGTTTCATGAAGTCATCCTTTTCTAGGAAATCTTGCTGACAGACAAATGGACAGACCGACAAATCACATCTATGATGTACCTCCACCTCAGCTCTGGCCATAACAGGGGAATAAACCCATAAATAAACTGTCTCCAGACAGCTCACATCCCAGCCCTTTCTAACCACACGCAGATAAGCAGTCACACACCCGTCAACACGTCAAACGTCACATTATTGCAATGTCCATTTGCAAATCTCTAAATGCATCTAGGGGCAGAGCCTTAACTGAACCCAGGCAATGCATCATCACTGTGTGTGTGTGTCCATGTTTGCATTTGTGTTTATATCTGTGTGTCTGACTACACATACAATTATGCACAAATGAAGAAAATGAACTAAAGCTGGCCAGTTTTATCACCAAGTCATACGGGTGTATCCGTAAAAAACGAAATTGTCCATTTATGAGCTATTTATCACCAAGTGTATATATCACTGTGTGTTCAGTCCCTGAAAGCCATCCAACCAGCTATCTAAATGGGCTACACTAGATTAAAAGAAGAGAAAAACAACACGAAATTCAGATGGATGAATTGCACAAGAGCAGCTGATAAACTGACAGTGGAAATGTTGAGGGGATTTCTCCTCCTGCTTCATCATCAGTGTGTAACAAAGTGTGACTAGCTGCAGTGTCTCCTCTCTTTATGTCTAGTGCCAGCTGGGGTTCGGTGCCCAGCTCTAAATGGACTGTCACGGCCAGCAAACCGCAAATGTTCTGCTTCACCCACCTGCTGCTCAGGCCACCCCCTGAGTCTGGTTCCCTGGGAACAGATAAACTCTGCCTGGGGAAGTCTTGCCGGATGGGAGCGGGAAGGCTCCATGCTGCAGATCCAACACCGGCGTCAGGCCTTGGAAACAAGCTGAAGAGCATGTGTCTGAGTGGCAAAGGGAACTCCACCATTCCCTGGACGCTGGTTTGGAGGAGGTCCCAGCATGGCACTGAGCACGGTTTGGCTTGGGATGAATTCTCAGGGGGAAGAAGTGTGAACGTGGCCGTCTCTGGTATCTCACAGATCTGGGAAGAGTACATAATATAAATATTATAAAAAGGCAGTTGAGAGGAGAGAAAAAGGAAAATAAATCATGGTAAGAATATAAATAAATGACAGATGAAGGGGGAAAAACGAAAGAGACAAAAAGAGAGGGCAAGGTGACATGAGCAAATGAGAATAAAGAGGAGAAATGGTCAAACATGTGATCAGAAAACAGGATATGAGATGGGACATGAAGGCCAAGAAGAAAAGAAAGCCAGAGAGCAAAGAAGATGCAAGTGATTACAACAAAAGATACATGGTAAAACCACATTGTTATTCTACTCTATTCTTTCTCCCACTGAGCTTAGAGCTAAATTGGTAGCAGAGAAGCCCTGCTGTGCTGGCTTAACAGCCAGTGAGCAGTGTGTAGTATAGGACTACAGGGATTAGGCTCTAAGCATGATGAATAGACAAACTAGAAAGGCATTCCTAGCCTTGTTTGCGGTCTGTGTTATTGTTAAGCCCATCGCCCGCTCTTTAGTTTCTTAAGCTCTTTTTTTAAAAGGTTTTTCAGTCAATTAGTGGCAACTGGCAAGCTTTGCCATCCTTCCATAAGGGGATCTGAAAGCTTGTTAAATGACATCACAACATTGTTGCCCTCTTTAGGGACAAGCAGCAGATGAAAGCAGGAAGGAAACCTGCATCCAATTCTGGGTGTTTGTCTAATGTCCCTATGAAGTGCCATTGCCACATGGTGAGAACGGCAGAGGGAGAGAGGGGGCTGGGGGAAGGTTTGGGACATGATCTGATGGAAAACGGCTTGCAACATCCCAGGGTATGTGTGCTGGGGTAGACACACTGCGTTTGCAATGTGCATGGGGAATAAAATGTATGTTTGAAGCTTCAGGAACTTGAGCAGGCAGACAGGAGAGACATGACACAGGACCATAAGCAAGAAAGTAGCATTGTGAAATGAAACTCTGAGTAAGAGCTAACAGTTGAGGACGTGGCCAGGTGTTGTGATGTATGATGAATTGTCCTTGTCTAGTCTGAAACATACTAAAAATATACTGAATCTGCATTGCTGTGTTTCACATTTTAACATTTGCCAAAATTCTCAGCTCATTAAGTCAAAGAAGATAAACCGAATTCAGAGAAACCTTCATTCCCTCCGTGTGACAGGGAAAAGCATTCAAATTACCTGGTCATCAGCTGCCAGTGCGTGGTCACTCAGCAGGGGCCTGTAGTGTATAGTGTAAGGAGTGTTGTTGACAAGAATTGTCCTGTCCTCTATCTGCAAGATCTGGATGCCATGTCTCACCACAGATGACACACAGAACTGACACAGCTACGGAGGGAAGAACAGGCAATAAGCTGTCAGCGATAAATGATTAAAGAAAGTAACAACGTTGCTTCTTGTGAGATCTGTAAGTCATCATGTGGTCACGATGACGACAAATGGTGAATAGATGGCAGGATGGATCCATGCTGTCAACGCTCCATATTCTGTGCCTATGCAGAGATTGAGACTCATCAGACAGGGAAACGTGTTTAAACGTAGCCTTATTTTACAGTTCTCAGGATGGAGCAGCACTGCGTGTGCTTTTCTGTTGATGTCTTTTACCTGCTTCCAATGTCAAGGAGGTGTGTTCAGAGATGCACATGTTTTTTGTCTTTCTAATTTCACCATTTCCTCCAACTTTGTTATTTTTTCCCAGGATATTGCTAAACACTGGCTGCTTTTTCTTTTTCACATAATTCTCTGTAAACCCACTGGTGGCTGTTTGAGGAAATCCAAGTGCATCAGCAGTTTCTGAAAAACCAGTTCACCTGGCATCAATTCTAAGTCACTTAAATGACCTGTCTTCTAGACTCTGATGCTTGGTTTCAACTTCAGCAGATCCACTTGACCGTGTCTACATGCCTAAGCACAGTGAGTTTCTGCTATGTGATTGGCTGATTAGACATTTGTTTCAAAGAGCATTTAAACATGTGTATCTATCGAATTAGCCGGTGAGTTCTCATGCTGGTAGGAGCTCTGTTGATTTGGGAAATATATTGCAATTATTTCTTCAAGAATTATGTATTCTTTTCCACTTGCCTCCCTAATAATTCATCAGAACTTTTTGATTCAAACCACATTATGGCTTTGTAAAAAAAGAAAGAAAGAAAAGAAAAAACCACAATGTAATTCAATAACTGGCAGAAAATAAATAAACCTAAGATATATGGACAAAACCCCCAAATTAAAAACATTTCTTGACAAATAAGCCTAAACTTCACTTCAGTTTTAACAAACTATTTCACTTTCCCAGTGAGCGACTGTATATTAAAAAAGCTTTGAAGTTTCCCTCACCTTCTGTTTACCAGGGAAGGCTCCCAGTGTGATGTCTGCTTCAACATATCCCTCCTCATCCAGAGTGACCACCTCTGAGCTTGAGCCCTCCTTCCACCGAGGAGAAGTTAGGTCATGAACTAGTTTCAGGGCTGTAGACTTGTGGACAGTGTTAGTTTGGGCCCAGTAGATACCAATCTGGAATGCTTCCTGGATTGCAATGAACAGGAGTTCAGGTTAGAGAATGATAACAAGAGACGGAGAATGAAGGAAGCAAATTTGAAGCTGTGACTTCTCTCCAAAAAGCTCAACTTAGTGCTCCTGTATATCAATTCATACAGTCCTCGCAAAGTACTGTATGAATTCATTACTAGTAACCTCCGTGCTCCACACTGATTGTTCATCTGGCTCTGGAGCATACTGATGATCAAAACACCAGCCTTCTCCTATTAAACCAATCCGGTGTGAGAGTTGCAGCTGCAACTGTCTTCTCTCGACGTGTCGCTCCATGATAAATAGGAGGTTGCTATGGAAACAACGATGTATTTGTTTCTATTTCACAGGCTATTACACATTTACAACTTTTTATTTTGTTTCCTCGTGCTGAACCATATTAGGTCTTGTTCTTTGATACACTGCCTTCCCGCTTAGCGCTGGGTTTCTGACAGAGAAATGTGCGTATGTGTGTGTTACGTTCCAAAGGGGGAAAACCATCTGCAGGCTGTTCTTTCTGATCTCAGAAGCCAGTGAGAATGCATGCCTGCAGTATACGGTGACAGAGCTTGGCCGCAGTTAAAGACTTAGGCAGGGAATATTGTTGTAATGCAGCTCTGGTGAATGATCTCAGGTTTTGTGCTTATTAGTCGAGACTGAAGTGAGAAAAGAGCTGGTTCCATAATAATGGCTTTAATGCCACAAAAAGACATCCATGTCCTGATGTCAAAATATATATTTGCTGAATTATTACGACTATTGTCATGATGTCACAAAGACGTTGGCAAGTACAATACAGTCTATTAATGTCTTTCAAAATAAGAATGAGTTTTACTGGAAATGTACTTTGAAGAAAATAAGAAATAAATGAAAGTTTGAGACTTTGTTTTGGACTCTTACTGATCTTTGAGGCTATGATACAAATCAAGGCCTGGAGACTGGAAGATGAACATTAACTGGTAGCTTCAGGATGAAAAATATGCAACTAAATACAGAATCTGTGGACTTTAAGGAGATTTTTAGGGACTTGGGCCATTTTTATCTTTTGTAGATTTGAGTGTTTAAACAACTCCCATATACATTTACGTACTCCCATATGCATACAATGATCTTGTCGCACTCTACCTTGAAGTTGGGCGGTACAATGACCTTGCCGGCTGGTATCTGCAGTACGATGGTCTCTCCCTCAAAAAGCCAGAGATCCCATTGGGAATCATTGGCCAGTAAGGCCCAGGGGAGCAGCTCCACCAGGAGCGTGTTTAGACCAGGTTTCCAGCAGGAGAGCTTCACCTGCATAGGACTGTCCCATTGTGCAAGAGGCTCGAGCACTGACCTGTTGGAAGAGAACACTTCTTGGATAAACCACTCCAGCAGAATCCCAGTATGGAGAAGTTGATTTGAGGAAAATGATCACTTGAGTCGAAGGTTTGCATCATTTTACACTAAAGTATTTTAAGCACTGCTGCACCGTATAAGAATTAAATGTCTCACCCTTTCAGTCTTAATAATCAACTTTATCAAAACACTCCATAAAAATGGAAACCTTACATGGTTTAAATTTGGCAAATCTGACATATGCTGGGCAGCTTCCAAGGCTCCTGCTATTTTTAGACAGTTTGCTGGTTGTCTCATTCTAACCACTTCAACTGTGCTTATAATCAGTGATTGTGTGCACTGACTGTGATGTCACCATAGATCTCAAATTTGAGCAGAGAACAAACAGGTCCAACATTTGTGTGAAGGGTTAAGGCAGGGGTCAGCAACCTTTAACACCCAAAGAGCCATTTGGAC